AATGTAAGAGCTTGAGTTCTTTGAATCAAATTATGTGTGTTAGCATCTTGTCTCTGCCAGTTCAAATGGACACACTGTTTAACAACTCTGTGCCTCTGTATTTCTTTAGCTATACATTGAGATACTATGGCTGCTTATCTCAGAAGTGTTGAAAGTATTAATCAAAACAATGTATTTTATAAAGTATTTATGAGAGGGCCAGGTCTGTATGAAGAGCTCAGAGTTGTTGTGAATAGTATTTGTATTTTGAGTTCACTGGTAAAGTTCAAGGTAACTTTTCTAAGTTTCCGCATCTTTAAAATTAAGATATAATGGTATATACCTCATAAAACTGTTGTCAAGACCAGATGAGGGAACCCAAAGGAAAGTGTTGTGTAACCTGAAAGCATTCAATTACCATTTGGTTAACTATGTAATCCAGAATAAGATGATCTTGCATTAATTAAAAAAATATTTACTAAATGTTTGTAATATACAAGGCACTGGGTTAAGCAATATGAAACACAGAATGAGATATGGGATCTATGCTTAAGTGGTAGCACAAGAATATAATCACTACTCTGCGGTAAAAGAAAAAAGTCTGAGGTTGCCCTGACCTATTTGGCTCAGTGGATAGAGCATTAGCCTGCGGACTCAAGGGTCCATTACACTATGGTAAATCGTTTTTATTTTTTTAACTAATTTTAAGGAGAGGAAGGGAGAGAGGAGGGAGATGGAGATAGAAAAACATCAATGTGAGAGAGAAATATTTATAGGCCCTGCATTGCCCCTACTGGGGATTGATACTCCCCACCCCCAAACTTGGATATGTGCCCTGACCAGGAATGAAACCTGCCATTCTCTGGTGTACTGGATGATGCTCCAATGAGCCACACCAACCAGGGCTGGTGAATAATGTTTTAATGCTCACCGAGCCTACACAACCTTTACATTCTGATGTAAGATTTGATATTTGGAAATATTTACTATTATATTTTGGCCAATTCGGGTCAGAAAGTTAGGTGATTTGTTGCATAATGCTGTTTCTGGTTGAAAACGAGGTTATCCATGAGTTATACATGAGCCCTAAAGCAATTTCAGGGTAGGAGTTTAAGAATCATTTTTGAAAAATGGAAGCCTGCCAGTTTAGTTTCTGTAAGGTGATTACTTTGAAGGACAGCCCCCGTTTGGCCATCTGCCCTGATGTGTTTGTTTAAAAATCATTCTTAGCACAGTTGATATTTTGATTTATTGAAAGAATTGATCCCTGAATGTGTAAGATGTCATGTACATTTTTCTTTAGAATGTATGTCGTGCTATAAATACTTAAAGTTAAAACATTACAGTAACAAAGAAAGTCATAAAAAGTGGACGTTCTTCCAGGTTAGGTCTACACTGGTACCAGAAATATACATGGCTTCCTAAAAGTACTTGATAACTCTAAGCCGCTCCGTTCACTGTAAGTAATAATTTGTGTGTCCTGAGCACTGAGCTATGAGCTGGGTCACACTGGTCCTCTGTGAATGGAGCCACATCAAACCATTCTTCTGGTTTGAAATGGGTGGACTAAAGAGAACACGGAAGACCTATGACCAAGAGCACAATCTTAGTCATGCTTCTCCCCGCTTGTATGTTCCCAGAGCTCTGCTAACTCATCCTGTAAGCCCAGGACATCTTCAATGTGGCATCAGCATGTACTAGTGGTATCACGTCAGCATTAAAGTAATAATTTTTTTTGTTGTTAATCCTCACCTGGGGATATTTTTTCCCATTGATTTTTAGAGAGAGTGGGAGGCAGGGAGTGGGGGGGTGGGTGGAGAGAGAGAGTGACATCCAGGTGAGATAGACACATTGATTAGTTGCCTCTTGCACACACCCCAACGGGGCCTGGGGAAAAAGCCTGCACCTCATATATGTGCCCTTGAACACCTGACCCTTTGGTGTGAGGACTGGCCCTCTAACCACTGAACACAGTGGCCAGTACTAAAGTATTATACTTTTTTAAGATCACTTATATCTCATACTTTTTAACAGAATTTAAATTTAGGTTGGCCATATACAAATGAAAAAAATAAATAAATCAAACACTTCCATTCCCTCTGTTTAGATCAATGATTCTTAAAGTGGGGTCCCCAGGCCAGAGGCATCAGCATCACTTGTGAACTTGTTAGAAAGGCACGTTCTCCATTCCTGCCTCAGAAATACTGAGTCAGCACCAGGCAGGAGAGGTGAAGAGACCCAGCAATCTGATTAAGTCCTGGTTCAAGGTGGTTCCGATGTCTGCAAACTGTGAGCCCCACTGGGATATAAATAGCAATGTCAAGAAACTGCCAGATAAGCAGTACAATCTTTTTAAAACTTTGTAATTTATTCCAATAGCCTATTACCGTCCTCATGGTTACTGCATTTAACATACACAGAATTACCCACATAATCGATGTCTCGGTTGTCCTCAACAGAACGTGTGTAAAAAAAAGCCATGGCTACTCTCTAAAGCACGTGTGTCAAACACAAGGCCCGCTGGCCAAATCCGTCCCGCCAGGCCTTGCAATGTGGCCCGAACCGCGCTGTCATCACTGCACTCCGCTGCGTTTCCATCACAATGACAGTTTATGACTGTTCAGTAAACCATTCGGCCCGCGATTTAGGCTGGATTTTAGATTTTGGCCCCTTCTCTGATTGAGTTCGACACCCCTACTCTAAAGAGGTAGTATGGGAATAAGACAAATAGATTTGTTTAGTTTCCTCAAATGATACTGAACTCCCTTCACCCCTGCTCCACCTCCAATGAAAGAATGGGGAGAAAAACATTGACAGTAGGCACTATTCTATTCCTTTTGATGGAGCAGGAAGATTTTATTAGGTGACATAAATACACGCTTATCCCTTGCAGATAACAGTTATCATGAATAAATAGCTATGTTCAAGTCTGATTAAAAGAAAAAACTAAAACATTTAAAGGTAAACGGAGGCTTTGCCTTATTTGTAGTTAAACCTTCATAATTATTCCAGATCTATACATTAAACTATATGTAATACACACCTATGATACATAACACAATTTTTAATGAAATTTAAAGTTTCATAATTCATTCAAAAGGCATATGTGGGCCCTGCCAGAGTGGCTCAGTGGTTAAGGGTCGATCTATAAACCAGAAGGTTACAGTTTGATTCCTGGTCAGGGTACATGCCCAGGTTGTGGGCTCAATCCTCTTGCTTCCTCTCTGAAATATATATAGCCTATGTGGAATAAAATGATTCCCTGTTTAGGAATTAAGTTTTAGGCTTTGGAGCAGTGCAGTTCATAGACCTATAATCCACAGGTGTAATTTAAAATTTCCTAATGAAACAGATTTTAAAAACTGAAATAAGTGATATTAATGTTAAATCATATTTTGTTTAACCTTATATATTTTAAAAATATATATTTTACTGATTTTTTACAGAGAGGAAGAGAGAGGGATAGAGTTATACAGAAACATCTAATGAGAGACAAACATTGATCAGCTGCCTCCTGCACACCTCCCACTGGGGATATGCCTGCAACCAAGGTACATGCCCCAGACTGGAATTGAACCTGGGACCCTTCAGTCCACAGGCCGATGCTCCATCTACAGAGCCAAACCATCCAGGGCTAACCTTACACATTAAAAGATCCCTTCAACATACAAACAATATAAAATTAATGCGATTTTACATTTTAAAATAGTCTCTTCAAAATCTTGCTTGTATTTTACACCTATAGCACATCTTAATTAGAATGTTAAATTTTAACTGGATATACTTGGACTTTCATTTAGATTGAATGTAATTTACCATTGGAAAAGTAGATACTATGCCTAAGTTTCAAGTATACTAAAAAAAAAAAAAAAAAAAAAAAAAAAAAAAAAAAAATTCCAGTAGCCTAACTATGTATCGGTTTTGATGTTTACATTAATAATAATAAATAAATAAAATTAAAAGTTCAATTTCTCAAACTGGCCACATTGGAAGCATTCAAATAGCTACAGGTGGCTGGTGGCTACCATAAGGGGCAGAGCAGCTCTGGAGCTGTAATAGACCACACCTGTGTAAAAATTCTGGCTTTGCCTTTCCTGGCTGCAAAGCAAATTACCTAGCCCTCTACAAGCTTCAGTTTTGTTCAGTGGGGGTGGAGGTGGGGGAAACTCACACAAACACACACACTCCACTCTGTACCTAACTTCTGCCATCAAAACTCGCAACAGACTATAAATAACTATAGTTTGCTCTTGGCTTCATAGTAGAGGTGATGAAATTATTGCATCTGTTTATAATAATCAAAACCAATATAAACGCCTATGATATACCAGTAAGAATTGTTCCATTTAATTCATACTCTGCAGCTGCAGCCGTAAATGTTATTTATTACTAACCACTCAGATTACTATCGGTTAAAGAAAAAAATTAATATTATGAGTAGCTCGACTGCAGCCTGCATGCACCGGGAGAAACTAGCAAAAACCAGCCCCCTGGCCACAGCGGTTAGCGAAGGGACAAGATGGGGGCGGGGATGAAGCCGGCGCACACTTTCTGGGAAGTGTGTTTTCCAAAAACAACTTCCTATTACTTTTGCAGTTTAAGGAGCGAATCCGAAATTTGGTTAGAAACGATTACACTTTCCCTGAGTTTACAAGTAGAAACGGCTCAGTGTAAATACTCGTTATCAGAATAAAGAAAAGACAGCCGGACGCAGCTTCCGGCGGGCGGTTTCCCGCGCAGGCAACCGGAAGCTGCAGGGCTCTTGACGTCATGGCGGGAGCGGCGTCCCCTGTTACCATGGTGAAGTCTCCGTCGCCATCTTTACTGTGGTTACCGCGCACCGCGCTTTTTCTGGCGGGGAGGGGCGCCGCGCCGGGAGCCTACCCAATAAGAGGCGAGAAAGGAATCGCGCGTTCAGATAACAAGTCACTTACAGAGTCGCGTAGATCCGGGGACCGAAAGCATGAACTAGTTTGGGGGAACGGACAAGCGCAGGTTTCGCGGGTGGGCGGAACCACTGTAGCGACCTTGTGAGGTTTCCACCCGGAAGGTAAGAGCCGCTTCCGCTGCTCAGCGGAAGTGTGGGTCGCCGAAGGACGACTTGCCGCCGGGATCCGCTCGCTGCTGGGTGCACAGTCGGAATCATGTCGAGTTTGTCGGTGAGAGACCCGGCCATGGATCGATCACTGCGTTCCGTGTTCGTGGGGAACATTCCGTACGAGGCAACCGAGGAGCAGCTGAAGGACATTTTTTCGGAGGTGGGTTCCGTGGTCAGTTTCCGGCTGGTGTACGACCGAGAGACGGGGAAACCCAAGGGCTATGGCTTCTGCGAGTACCAGGACCAGGAGACCGCGCTCAGTGCCATGCGGAACCTGAACGGGCGGGAGTTCAGCGGCCGAGCGCTCCGGGTGGATAACGCCGCCAGCGAAAAGAACAAGGAGGAGTTGAAGAGCTTAGGGCCTGCGGTGCCCATCATTGACTCACCCTACGGGGACCCCATAGATCCGGAGGATGCCCCAGAGTCAATCACCAGAGCGGTCGCTAGTCTCCCCCCGGAGCAGATGTTTGAGCTGATGAAGCAGATGAAACTGTGTGTCCAAAACAGTCACCAGGAAGCTCGAAACATGCTGCTTCAGAACCCGCAGCTGGCTTATGCGCTGTTGCAGGCGCAAGTGGTGATGAGAATCATGGACCCAGAGATTGCTCTGAAAATTCTGCATCGCAAGATACACGTTACACCCTTGATCCCGGGCAAATCTCAGCCTGGCTCTGGTCCTGTCGCTGGTCCTGGTCCTGGTCCTGGTCCTGTTCCTGTTCCGGGCCCTGGCCCTGTCGCTGGCCCTGTCTCTGGCCCTGGCCCTGGCCCTGGGCTCTGCCCAGGACCTAATGTGATGCTCAACCAGCAGAATCCTCAGGCCCCTCAGCCTCAGCATCTGGCGAGAAGGCCTGTGAAAGACATTCCTCCTCTGATGCAGACCCCTATCCAGGGTGGAATTCCCGCCCCCGGGCCCATGCCAGCTGCAGTTCCTGGACCTGGTTCTTTAGCTCCCGGGGGAGCCCTGCAGCCCCAAGTTGGCATGCCGGTGGTTGGTCCTGTGCCTTTAGAGCGGGGACAGATGCAGATGTCGGATCCTAGAGCGCCTATGCCACGTGGACCCATGACTGCTGGTGGACTGCCTCCTCGAGGGTTGTTGGGAGATGCTCCAAATGACCCACGTGGGGGGACTTTGCTCTCAGTCACCCACACTGGAGAAGTAGAGCCCAGAGGCTACCTTGGGCCGCCTCATCAGGGTCCCCCCATGCACCATGGCCCCGGTCATGACAGCCGTGGCCCTTCCTCACATGAGATGAGGGGAGGGCCGATCACCGACCCCAGAATGCTCATGGGAGAGCCCAGAGGACCGATGATAGACCAAAGGGGGCTACCTCTGGATGGTAGAGGCGGTAGAGACGCTCGAGGGATGGAGAGCCGAGCTATGGAAACTGAGGTCTTGGAGGCACGAGTGATGGAGAGGAGAGGAATGGAGACCTGTGCCATGGAAGCCAGAGGCATGGAAGGAAGAGGCATGGATGGAAGAGGAATGGAGATGCGGGGCCCTGGCCCCAGTTCAAGAGGCCCTATGGCCAGTGGGATCCAGGGTCCTGGTCCCATTAATATGGGGGCAGGTGGTCCACAGGGACCCAGGCAGGTCCCAAGCATGTCAGGGGTGGGGAATCCTGGAGCTGGCATGCAGGGAGCAGGCATGCAAGGGCCAGGCATGCAAGGGCCAGGTATGCAGGGAGCAGGCATGCAAGGGCCAGGTATGCAGGGAGCAGGCATGCAAGGACCAGGCATGCAGGGAGCAGGCATGCAGGGACCAGGCATGCAGGGAGCAGGTATGCAGGGAGCAGGTATGCAGGGAACAGGCATGCAGGGGGCAGGCAAGCAAAGTGGAGGCCAGCCTAGCAGTTTTAGTCCTGGGCAGAGCCAGGTAACTCCACAGGATCAAGAAAAGGCAGCTTTGATCATGCAGGTTCTTCAACTGACTGCAGATCAAATTGCCATGCTGCCTCCTGAGCAAAGGCAGAGTATCCTGATTTTAAAGGAACAAATCCAGAAATCTACTGGAGCTTCTTGAAATATTCATAGTAATCCCAGAAAGTTGTCTTTTTTTTTTCTTTTTTCTTTTTTTCTTTTCTTTTTAGCATGGAGAATGGGTGCAAAAAGCTAACTACTGCATCCCCACAGTTGAATGATTAGGGTTTATCTCCTGGCAGAACCTAATCTCATTTGTTTTTCTTGTCTTTCCCCTCCTCCCCCCGCCCCCCCTCGAGTTTTCCTTTTTTATTTCTAATCGTGAGGGGGAGGAATAGGTCTGTTCACTTTAATTCACTGTAAATATACAAAAATAACTCTGAAAGGGATACTATACCAAATAAGGTTTCAAATAATATGCAGCAATACTAAAAATGTGTACAATATGTTAACTTCTTTTAAAAACAATATTAAATAAAACAATGTGAAATCTTTACAAAAGATGAAAGGATGACCTGTTAAAATTGTAATTTACCAAGATAGTTTAAAATTTTTGTTTGTATAAGAAAACAAGTTTACCTCCAAAATATAAGATTCATTTTTTGGTAAGTCATTTAAAATACAAAAACCTATTTGGGGGGGCAATAGAAAGTTATGTTAAGCATTCTTTCAGAGTTTTGGAATTATTTAGAAATGTTAAGAGCTAACAGGATAAATCTAAACTTGTGGTATAGGGATTGTTGTGTTTTTGTTTTTGTTTTATAAAGCTACGCTACCTGAGTATCAAAGAATGGATCTGGTGTGATGTTTCATTTATCTCACCTTTCAGAGGTTAGTGACATTCTGGCCTGACCTGAAAATGATATTTTACTTGGACAGTTCTAGGATTAACCAGGTTACTTAACTGTCCTCTGATGAGATTCAGTAAATCTCTCCGTACCTTCCTATTTCTCAGTAACCTTTGAGCCCTAAATCTAAATCTGAGTTATTCTTTCACATCCTTCCCTAAAAATCAGTATTTAGGGACCAGTTAATCTGAGTGAATTATAGACCACATTGGGCTTTTCATAAATGGTAAAGGGCTTCCTTCATGCAGTAAAAACTCTGCTTCTAGCTTTTTTATGCAGATGCTTTTCTATCTGGTCAACCAGAAACAGGAATTAAAAATCTTAGTCTCAGCAATATTTAACATCACTTTTTGTTTTCTTATATCATCTAAATCCATTTGTGTATCACCATCTTATCAAAATAACCCAATCCAGGTAGGTAGGTAAAATCTTGTAGCCTAAATTCTCTGCTTAGTGGTTGGTTATTCATTGCTTTTTATAAGGCATGAAGCCACTTAGTTCTAGTATAGGTACCACTGAGACATAGTTAAAAATCAGAAGAAAAGCGAGGCTTATCACATTTCCTTCAGAGCTACTACCTAACTTATTTTTAAGCCTTCAAATGTGGACATATAAAGTATACCATCGACTACTAGTGAATAGAAGTATAAACGCCCTAATAACCAGGTGTTCTTACTCTGGAGAAAAACCAATAAAAACTAATATCTAGTTACAGAGGGGAGAATGTCATTTAATGCAAGGAGAGAACTGAAACTTGGAAATTATTTTTCCTTTGTAAGGTGTATACATCTTAAATGGTATAAGGTTTTCATCCCTTTGCTGTTACACATTTTTTTACTGTTGTTTATACTGTTACTTTTCTTGTGTATTCTATATGCTCCCCCTATATTGGAGGGAATAACTCTACCTGTGTGTGTGTGATAATTCTGTACACTACTCATTCACAGAGTTGGCTTGATTACTTTGAAATTATAGTTCCTTTATCCTAAAGTTTTCATTGAAGGACTAAATAAAAACCATTAAATGTTATGTTCTTTGTTGTAATAACATCTCTGCATTGTTTAAGGAAGACGTAATAAAAAGAATGGACAATACCTGATGTTTATTTCTAATTACTGCATTGTTCAAGTGATCTTTTGTTGAGAGATCCACAGGATCTTAATACCTTTCCCTCCTCCCCCCTTTTAATTAAAAAGAACTAAATAAATTGTGGGAATGGATGGGAATCCCTTTCTTAGATTTATTATCTATATAGTTCCACAACTGAAATGCATTCTGTGGTTGGTATCCATAGCAACATCTTGGATACTCGGACATTAGACTTCCCTTTTATTTATGTTCCCCAGAGAGGACTCTTCCCTGTATCCCAAGATCACCTAATGGGTATTTTCATTACTGACAGCACTTTCATATTGTAATGCACTACGTTAACTTTTACCTTCTACCCCTCAATCCCACTTCTAATAGACCAGGGACTCTACATGTAGACTGTCATTTCTGTAGCAAAAATCGCAGGTGAGAAGAACAAACTTGGGGGGGGGGGGGGGGAACCCTCCATTAAGAGCACATAAATTTTCCCAAAAAAAGTGAAAAAGGGATTTAGATTGGGTATAGACCAAATGAACTATAACCACTATTTTATTTGCATTAGAAAATAAACCAGAAGTAGACAGAAGCAATCTCCTTTACCTTTTGGTAATTCACTGCCTGGATGTCCCCAGTATTGAGGAATAGAGCCTCATTTCATTTTGATAGTGAAAAATGCAGGCAGTGTGTGTCTGCTACTAATAGTTTTAGTACATAATGGTTAGTTACAACCCCTGGCATCCTGCATTTCCCAAATATGGATAGACTGCAAATGAAATCACAAATTCCTAATATAGTTGAAGATGGTGGATGAAACGCTGATTTGCAAATGCCTATTGAGCAGTATATGTTTCTTGGGAATAGGAAATTATCAGATTAATCATTTAGTACTTGCCCTCTTCTATTATTAACATCAAAATGTGTTTTAATGTTTCCTGATACCTTTGTCTCAGGACTATTTTGGGGTATTCAGTGAGATATAAAGCAATGTGAATCTTGGGTGAAGGCTGGCAAATTCAAGTGATATATGACTTTTCAACTACACTTGTCAGAATTCTGGCAGAAAAGAAAAAAGAAAAAAAAAAGGCCTTTAATTACAGCTTGCAAAGCTTTGGTTTTTCCATGCTGTGATGGGACATTAAGCACATAGAACCTAATTTCCTATGGGTGTCAGGCCTTTTTCTTAGATCTGATGAGGTCTATGGATAATTATGTGCCACAACCTACTGTGGCAGAGAAACTGAACTATCAGTCACATCTCAGCCTTTTCACAAAAGAATACTATGTTAGCCTCTCAATGCTTTACATTGTCAGCTAATCTCTAGACCACATGTGTCAAACACAAGGCCTGCGGGCCAAATCCGTCCCGCCAGGCCTTGCAATGTGGCCCGAACCGCGCTGTCATCACTGCACTCCGCTGCGTTTCCATCACAATGACAGTTTATGACTGTTCAGTAAACCATTCGGCCCGCGATTTAGGCTGGATTTTAGATTTTGGTCCCTTCTCTGATTGAGTTCGACACTCCTACTCTAGACAGACTCCTAGTTGGAGCTTGCTTTTCTCATTAGTCCCTTGTCAAGAATGCTCAATAGTCAAACCCTAGCTGGTTTAGCTCAATGAATAGTGTTAGCCTGCCTACTGAAGGGTCCCAGGTTCGATTCTGGTCAAGGGCACATGCCTGGATTGCAGGCTCAATTTCTAGTAGGGGGCATGCAGGAGGCAGCCAATCAATGATTCTCATTGATGTTTCTATCTCTCCCTTCCTCTCTGAAATCAATAAAAATATATTAAAGAATGCTCATTAGTCAAAAATGATTTATTTTAAGGAAATCATTTCTATTAAATAGAAAAATTGTAATATTAAGCATCAGTGATTAGACAGTATGCTAGTACATTTCATATATGTGTGTATATATATTTTTTTTTTCCATAGTAACCATTGCTTTTTTTAATGTATTTTATTGATTTTTAACAGAGAGGAAGAGAGAGGGATAGAGAGTTAGAAACATCAATCAGAGAATCATCGATCAGCTGCCTCTTGCCCAACCCCTACTGGGGATGTGGCAGCAACCAAGGTACATGGCCTTGACCGGAATCGAACCTGGGATCTTTCAGTCCACAGGCCAATGCTCTATCCACTGAGCCAAACCGGTTTCGGCTGCTTTTGTATTCTTTTTACATTTTTATCTTTGTTGTTTAAAGTATTACAGATGTCCCCTCTTTTCCCCCATCGATCCCCTCCACCCCACTCCTGTTCCCTTGGTCATGGTCAGAGAAGGTTCACTGTGGACCTAGAGGTGCGTGCTGAGACCCCAGCGGAAGATCCCTACCTATCAGAGGTAAATAAAGGAGACAGACCCTCTATTAAAAACCATATGGAAAAATGAGAAAACAAACAAAAATCCTGTTCCTTCACAGATAGTTCAATGAACATCCGGCTTCGTGGGAAACCTAACACAAAACACCATAGTTGACATTTCTGTTGTTTGAGGAAATCACCTGAGTTTGCATTTAGTCTATATGTGTGACCTTTTTTTTTTTTTTTTTCCAGGGGTGGAGAGGAAGCTATGCCAAATTGATTAGAAACAATACATTTATACCTAATACACATTATCTCACGTCAAAAATTAGTTCGGCCAAGCCGTAAAAATTATCCCAGAACATCTGAATTGTTTTGGCTACTTCTTCCTGCTCATCCCTGTCTTCATGAGCTCCTCCAAACCCAGCGCCGAGTCTCAGGCTGCATTTGACAAAGCTGCTGAGGAAGTGAAGCGCCTCAAGAGCAAGCCAACGGACAATGAGCTGCTGTTCCTCTACAGCCACTACAAACAAGCCACTGTGGGGGACATAGATAAAGAGCGGCCAGGGATGCTGGACTTCAAGGGCCGGGCTAAGTGGGATGCATGGAATGAGCTGAAAGGAACTGCCAGGGAAGATGCCATGAAAGCTTACATCAGCAAAGTAGAAGAGCTAAAGCAAAAATACGGAATGTAGGGACTGGCGTTGGCTGCCAGCCCCACTTTCATCTACATGGATAATCATGCCTTGTTTCTCACCACAGATGAAGTGAAATAATGACATCAATCCTCTTCCTGAGCACTGTCCAGGATATGGCTCTAACAGGTTAAGAAGCTGAAATAAATAGCTACCTTGATGAGTAGTTTTTATCTATAGATCAATTGAAAAACAAACAAACAAAAAACAACACCTGCATTTGTTACTTTAAGTAACAAAAACAAGCCTTAATTGTTTTTCCAATCCACAAATCTTATCATCATCTTGGTAAAATATATTACTGTCCAGTCAAGAATGTTACTGACTTCACACTGGGGTACTACACTTCCCTTTGTAAATGTCTCCATGACACTGAAATATTTCCTAAATGACCTCACACATCTTATCATGTAGTAGACAAACAGCAGAACTCCCGAAACCATCGACTTAGCATGGTGCTTCTTTGAGAACTAAACCTTCAATAGAATTCTGCTGCTAAATATTTTTTTAACCTTATGTAAATCTTCCTATACTCCAAAAAGAAGGAATTGGTATAAGAGGAGCAGTTAACAGTATCTGCCCAGCATTTGCTCTGTTGTTATTTTCAGTAGATTTATTGGAAATGGTAAAAACAACAACAACAACAACAAAAAACTCTATACTGCAATTTGTGCCTTTAAACTTTGTACTTGAACTTGATCCTAATTAAGGGTACAGATAAACCAAACCAACATTTGTAAATTAAGCAAAATAGGGTTTTCTTTCCATACAAAATGCTTAAGTGATTAAACATTTTTAGCAAACAATTTATATCCAATCAAGGTCTTTCAAATGGTGATGTCAAAGTCTCATTGTGAGGCTATGCAGATGATCTTAGACCAGTTTGTAGGCAAACTGTGGCTCTCCAACCACATGCGGCTCTTTGGCCCCTTGAGTGTGGCTCTTCCACAAAATACCACAGCCTAGGCAAGTCTATTTTGAAGAAGTGGCGTTAGAAGAAGTTTAAGTTTAAAAAAATTGGCTCTCAAAAAAAATTTCAATTGTTGTGCTGTTGATATTTGGCTCTGTTGAGTTTGCTGACCACTGCCTCAGACCATGGGAACCACTCATTGTTACATGAATTCGTTCAGACTGCCTGTATTCTAGTTCTTAATGTGGGGCTTTGTTTGTATAGAGGGGAAACAAAACTTGCTTAAATAGAATATTTTGTGAAGCGGAAGTGAGGTGACTTATAGAATCATTGATTGTTGGGGATTTTGTTGTCACTGTTTTCAGATAAACTCAATTTAGCAATTTCCTCCCTAATGAGTGCTTCTGCTGGGATATGCAAAGTAGTTGAGCCTTGAGCAATAATAGCCTTGGTTTGAGAAGGGTCCTAAAACTGCCCCTCCTGAGGAAGAGAGCTGGGTAATCTTGAGGGGTGGAGAAAAGAGGCTTCATCTCCAGTCCAATCTCTTTCACCCAGCCTCCCAAGGAGAGGGAAGACTGAAGAGCTGGCCAGTGACACAGCCAGACCAGCCAGCTTTTCCCCCTCTCTCCCCATTAAGAGTACATTTGTGCAGTACCACCACTTTCCAGCCCTGATAGTAGGTAAGTTTCACAACCCTGCCCATGATATCACTCTGCTTTAAGAAGGGGACAGCAGAACAGTTTCACACCGGGGACTGGATGTGAAGGAACATCAGGCATCATTTCCACAGAGTGAGGGAGTTCATCACAGGCCTATAGAGAGGTGATTTGTAGGCAACAGTGAAAGATGGATAAAATCAACCTTTTGTCCTTAAATTTTTCTTTTTCTTCCATGAACCAACTAAATGGAGGATATGGTTGACCAGCGAGAAAAAGACCACACACTTGAATGGACATATTTATATGGAATAACAATAGATTGTTTATAAGAATTCTATAGGATCCTCACCCTGACAAATATGGCTCAGTGACTTGGAGCCTCCTCCTGTACACCAAAAGGTGGCGGGTTCAATTCCCCATCAGAGCACATAGGTTTTGGGTCCCATCCCGGGTATAGGTAGGGGTGCATTTTGGAGGCAACAGATCAGTCTTACTCTTTCTTCTCTTTCTCTCTCTTTCTCTCTCTCCTCCCCACACACTCACTCTCTCAAATCAATTTTTTTTTTAATCTATAAAAGTAAATATATTCTTCTGTATAATTCTGGTTAACATCTATAATAATTTAAATGATCATGTGACCTGTTTTCCCCGTGACCTATTTTTGCATTTGTATCAATATATAACATATATATTATAAAATTTAGCCACTTTTAAATATATGATTCAGTGGTTTTTAGCACACTCTGAGTTGTGCACCATTAACACAATCTAAATTTAGAACATATTCTTCACCCACAAAAGAATCCTGCACTCATTAGCATTTACCCCCCAACTCTCTTTCCCCCCCACTTTGGCCCTAGGCAACCACTGATTTGCTTTCTGTCTTTTTAGATATTATGGATATTTCATATAAGATGAATACTACAATATGTTTTTGTATGTGTGTGAATAGCTTCTTTCACTTAGCATGTTTTTTAAGATTCATATACTGCATTACTTTATTCCTTCGTTTTGCCAAATAATATTCTATTGTATGGATATAGGACTTTATCCATTCACTAGTTGATAGATATTTATATTATTTTACTTTGTGGCTATTATGAATGGTACTATTAACATCTGTATACAAGACTTTGTGTGCCTTTATATTTCATTTCTCTTGGACATATATACAATTCCTAGGAGAGGAATTGCATATGATAAAAACTACTTCCCAAAGTGACTGCACCATTTCACATCCCCTTAACAATGAATGCGGGTCCAGTTTCTCCATGTCTTCATCAATTTCTTATTAATTTCTTCTTGATTATATCTATGTGTGTGTGTGTGTGTGAACTGGTATCTTCTTGTACTTTTGATTTGCACTTCCTGATGGCTGGGGATATTCAGCATCTTTGCATATGCTTATGGCATTTTGTATATCTTCTTTGAAGAAATGTATGTTCCTTGTTTTCTACTTATTATAAATAACATGGTTTGTAAATTCAAAGTTTCTAAGTGGATAATCAGATGTCCAAGTCTCTAAAACATGAAAGAAATTCATTCTTTTGTGATTTAAGAACTGACCTGAACTAGGAGGAGTCAATTGCAGTCCTAGAAGTGAGGGTTTTCAAATATATCCTAATACCCTTTGGAAATAGCAGGGAATACTTTTCATGGTTTATGCACATCAGTGGGGTTCAGGACACTCTTCCCCAACATATGACACCTTGGCATACTGAATACTTTACATTGAAGAAGTTTGGGGGGGAAATAGCAGAAGCAGAAAGGTCACTCTGACTGTCTCCTGTCCATCTCCCCTGAAACAGAAAGGAGCATGCTTATCTCTGACCATAAAGGAATGCCCCAAAGAATCTTGGTAAACAGGTCTTGCTAAATTTTCCCAGTTCACTATAATCACCCTATACTCCCTCACCTATGATATCCCTCCCTCATTGTGCCCTCTTCATCCAACCTAGCATAGAAGTACTCAGGCCTGCTTCCTCAGGCCTTCCTGTCCTGGCGAAGGCTTCTGTGTCGTGCAAACCTTATAGGAAATAAATTTGGTTATGCTTCGATTTCTTCCCATTAATCTGCCTTTGTCAGTTTAATTTTCAGACTCAGCCAGGGAGCCTAGGAGAGTGCAGGAAAACTGGTTTCTCCCCTACGTTATAAAGATGCTAGTTGAACCTGAAGGGAAAAGATGTGCTTCTCCAGGGAAGCAATGCAGTGTTGTCATAAAAAGCCCATCTGCCAGTTTTCAAATTCTGACTCTGGTAGTACTACCAGTGGGACCCATTTCTAGGCTTCACTTTCAAAATCTGTACACTGAGCCAACTATCTCCTAAGGTAATGGAGAGCATTGTTTGGTAATGTGCTTTGCACCACGTCAACACATGATAAGTTCTCCATATGTGATATGTGTTAGATATTGCTGTTATTCCTTAAAACATAAAGATGTGGCCCTAGCTGGCTTGACTCAGTGGATAGTGTCAGCATATGGACTGAAGGGTCCCAGGTTTGATTCAAGCCAAGGACACATGCCCAGGTTGTGGGTTCAATCCCCATTAGGGGGTGTGCAGGAGAAAGCTGGTCAAGGATTCTCTCTCATCATTGATGTTTTTATATCTTTCTCCCTCTCCCTTGCTCAATAAAATAAAATAAAATAAATAAAATAAAATAAAATAAAATAAAATAAAATAAAATAAAATAAAATAAAATAAAAAAAAAAATAAAATAAAATAAATAAAATAAAATAAAATAAAATAAATAAAATAAAATAAAATAAATAATAAAATAAAATAAAATAAAATAAATAAAATAATAAAATAAAATAAGATAATACAATAAAATAAAATAAAATGAAATATAATAAAATAAAATAATAATAAAATAAAAAATAAAATAAAATAATAAAATAATAAAATAAAATAAAATAAAATAAAATATAAAATAAAATAAAATAAATAAAATAAAATGAAATAAAATATAAAATAAAATAAAATAAAATAAAAAAATAAAATAAAATAAAATAAAATAAAATAAATAAAATAAAATAATAATAAAATAAATTAAAATAAAATAAAATAAAATAAAATAAAATAAAATAAAATATTGGGTCGGCAAGTAAGTAATTGCGGGTTTCACACATATATGGCTTCAGTTGAATTTTTAGGTTTGCAGACGTAGTAAAAATGTAAAACACATTTTGTTATTTGATAGTTGGCTATTCAGCTGTTAATCAGTAAAAAAAAGTTTTTTGATCTGTTTTGTAGTTTTCGTTTGGCGTTCGTTGAAAAATGGAAAATCAAAAGGAACATTTTCGTCATATTTTGATTTTTTATTTCCACAAAGGGAAAAACGCATCGCAAACTCATAAAAAGTTATGTGCTGTTTATGGTGACGAAGCCTTAAAAGAACGGCAGTGTCAAAATTGGTTTGCCAAATTTCGTTCTGGTGATTTTTCACTCAAAGATGAAAAACGCTCTGGTTGTCCAGTTGAAGTTGATGACGCCCTAATCAAAGCAATAATCAATTCGGACTGTCACAGTACAACACGTGAGATTGCAGAGAAGCTTCATGTATCACATACATGCATTGAAAATCACTTAAAACAACTTGGCTATGTTCAAAAACTCGATACATGGGTTCCTCACGAACTGAAAGAATCACAGTTAACGCAACGCATTAGCAGCTGCGATTTGCTAAAGAAACGTAATGAAAATGATCCATTTTTAAAACGACTGATAACTGGCGATGAAAAATGGGTTGTTTACAACAATATCAAGCGGAAAAGATCGTGGAGCAGGCCAGGTGAACCAACTCAAACAACATCAAAAGCTGATATTCATCAAAAGAAGGTTTTGTTATCAGTTTGGTGGGATTACAAAGGAATTGTCTACTTTGAACTCTTACCACCCAACCGAACGATCAATTCTGATGTCTACATTGAACAACTAATGAAATTAAACAATGCAGTTGAAGAAAAGCGGCCCAAATTGACAAATCGAAAAGGTGTTGTATTCCATCATGACAATGCAAGGCCACACACATCTTTGGTCACTCGGCAAAAATTAATGGAGCTTGGTTGGGATGTTTTGCCACATCCACCATATAGTCCTGACCTTGCACCATCTGATTACTTTTTGTTTCGATCTTTACAAAACTCCTTGAATGGTAAAAATTTCAATAATGATGATGATGTCAAATCGTACCTGATTCAGTTTTTTGCTAATAAAAACCAGAAGTTTTTTGAACGTGGGATTATGATGCTGCCTGAAAGATGGCAAAAGGTCATTGATCAAAATGGGCAATACATTACAGAATAAAGTTATTTAGTTCCATGAAAAAATTGTCTTTGATTTTCTTTAAAAAATCCGCAATTACTTACTTGCCGACCCAATAAATAAAATAAAATAAATAATAAAATAAAATAAAATAAAATAAAATAAATAAAATAATAAAATAAAATAAGATAATACAATAAAATAAAATAAAATGAAATATAATAAAATAAAATAATAATAAAATAAAAAATAAAATAAAATAATAAAATAATAAAATAAAATAAAATAAAATATAAAATAAAATAAAATAAATAAAATAAAATGAAATAAAATATAAAATAAAATAAAATAAAGAAAATAATAAAATAAAATAAAATAAAATATAAAATAAATAAAATAAAATAAAATAAATAAAATAAAATAAATTTTAAAAAAATAAAATAAAGCTGTGGAAATAGAAGCCATAAGAGCAATATGAAAACATGAACCAGCTATTTATTGCTCTGTGCATGCTGAAAGAAAGAGAGAAATAGAGGATGAACAGAATCAGCTCAACTATGAGGACTCACACCTCATAGGAAAGAATCTCTGAGAGAAGGAGGGGTTTAAAGATAGAGATCATAGATTTAGGCAGGGAAAGAAAACTATTACCTCTCTCCTTTACCACTTTTCTTACATATCCTTATGTAGTAAAGCTGTATTTTGTACAAGAAGAAATATAATACAAAGTTCACAATGGTGAAGGCAATCTTCTGTAGAAAAAAAAAAAACACAAAAAAACAACAACCCTCTAACAGCCAATTCTGTTTGACCCAAGAGATTGCAAACTCCCTAAATCTTCTGAAATGCTATCGAAGTTTTATCTAGCTTAAACTTTTATGGCTTGTATATTTCAATTTCTGGTAGCTTTATTTAGTACAATAAAGGACAGATTTTCTAAACGTGTTTCCTTTTATCTAAAGCAAACTTTAATAACTATATAAAAAAGTTTCAGAAAATATTTGTACGATTTGTTATGATTTTATATATAGGGTACAAGTTTCTTAAATGTTTATTTTATGAAGGAAGTATTCTTTCACAGCTTAGTCCTCCATGCTTTCAAAGATGGTATACATCAAGCTAGACTATGGATTAAGTTTCAAAATAAATGCACCAAAATATTATGATTTAATTAATTCTCATATAGCATTTTGTGTTTTACACATATCTAGTTTTTCTGAGTCTGACTTAAGAGACAATACAATACTGAATTACATTGAAATGTAAAGTTACAAAATTTTTTTAGGGGGGTAGAATGCAAACTTTATTCAGGAAATCAATGAGTAGCATTTAAAAAAATGTTTTTCTTGATTTTAGAGAGAGGAAGGGATAGAGAGATAGAAGCATCAATGAGGAGAGAGAATCACCAGTTGGCTGCCTATCAGGGATTGAGTCTGCAACCTGAGATGTGCCTTGATTGGGAATCATACCATGACCTCCTGG